GAGAGGAGAGAAGGGGAAATCCCAGAGCCTAAGGAACTGTGTCCTAAAAATTAAAAAAAAAATTAAGCGTTTTTAAAAAACATTGATTTATTTGTATTGAAAAGGGAGATTTATAGAGAGAAGGAGATAAAGACCTTCCATCTACTGGTTCACTCTCCAAGTGGCAGCAGTGGGCAGAGGTGAGCCAATTTGAAGCTAGGAGCCAGAAGCTCTCTCTGGGTCTCCTGATGGGTGCAGGGTCCCAAAGCTTTGGGCCGTCCTCGACTGCTTTCCCGGGCCACAGGCAGGGAGCTGAATGGTAAGCGGGGCTGCTGGGGTTAAAACAGTGCCCAAATGGGATCCCAGCGCGTTCAAGAAGAGGACTTTAGTTGCTAGGCTACAGCACCGGCCCGTAAAAGCAGTTTTGACAAACAACAAAGCTGATGATATGCCACTGCCTGATTTCAAACTCTGTTCCACAGCGAGTGTAACCAAAGCTTGTTCTACATAAAATGAGGCCTGTACACAAAGGAAATAGCACACAGAGCTCAGCAGTAAACCCAGAACTGGTCACCTTTGCTTTGACAGGGGTGAGCTCAACACACCATGCTAAAGAAACACCCCTTCAGGAAATGTGCTGGGAAAGCCGGATGTCCACATGCACAAGAATGGATTTTGAATCTTTCCTTATAATGTGCAGCAGGAAGCCATAAAACTTCTAGATGAAAACATGAAAGCGAGCTTCCTTAACATTGATCTTGGTAAAGACTTTCTAGCATTGATCCCATAAGCAGTGTCCACAAAAAGCAAAGATTACCACGTGAGTCTGTCTCAAGCTAAAACATTTCCGCATAGCAAAGGAAACTGTCAATGGGTTGGAAAATCATCCTTCAGATTGGGGGAAAGATTTACAAATCACGTATGAGTACAGAATTCCAAAAATTCAGAAAATTTTGTGTGAAACAATTTCGGGATCTGTGAATGCTTTTTTCTCAGTTTAAATTTTCCATTGGCTTTTTAAAGACCCCTTCTCCATGAGGATCTCACTCAATTCGGTTGCCAAATAAGAAACGAACTAAGTTTTATTTTAATTTTTTATTATGGGCCCGGCACGGTGGCACAAGTGGTTAAAGGTCCTCACCTTGCACGCCCGGGATCCCATATGGGCGCTGGTTCTAATCCCAGCAGCCCCGCTTCCCTTCCAGCTCCCTGCCTGTGGCCTGGGAAGGCAGTCGAGGATGGCCCAGAGCTTTGGGACCCTGCACCCGCGTGGGAGACCTGGAAGAGGCTCCTGGCTTCGGATCAGCATAGTATCAACCCGTTGCGCTCACTTGGGGAGTGAATCATTGGACGGAAGATCTTCCTCTCTCTCTCCTCTCTGTATATCCGCCTTTCCAATAAAATAATAATAATAATAAAAATAAATCTTTAAAAAGAAAAAGAAAAAATAATTTTTTATTATTGTCTTATTAATCTTTACATATGTGATTAGGGCACAAAAGGTCAAGGGCTACAGGAAAGTGGGTAAGACCATTATTTCCACATTATTATTTTTTTCTAGATCTGGGACAAGGGAAGAATAGAGGGAGAAGCCCCTCCCAGTCTCCCACCAATCCCAGGTCGACATAGAGCATCCTCTGAGGGACCTGCTCATGTAGTTTTGATAGTCCAATCGTTCTGAATTGCTGCCAGTCTCGCCACTCCAAGCATGATGAGATGTCTCCAGAATGCACTGGCTGACACATTCTAACTTAGAGTCTCCGTTAGCCAGATTTTCACTGCCAACACATGGCTTGGGTAGATGATCGAGTTGTTCTGTCCTCTGTCCTGCTGTGATACCAGGTGTCCTCTATAAACACACATCCTCCATGTGCACTTGGATTTGCTGTCTACTGTTCCATCTGAGACTCTGAGGAGGCTCAGCTTTGACGCATGCACTCCCTGCACTTCTCTTCATGGTTGGGGTTCTGAGATCAGCAGTTCAGTTGGAGGGATTCTAAAAGAAACTTCATCTGAGGTGATCCCAGGCCTGATTCCTATGTATGAATGCCAGTACAGGGTCTGGCACGCTCCGTCACCCCAGTCAGCTTACTCATATGTTGATGGTTACAATTGCCGGCTCAGTTCTATTTCCAGCCCTGTCTTCCAAACAAATCAATGTGTGTTGCAGTCCAGCCTGATTCTGCCCACCACACACTTGGCCCTCACTCAAAGCAGTGGGGGCTGCAACCTAGTTAGAGCTGCACCAGTAAGCCCCACCAGGCCCTCCCCTGCCCTGGTTCCCATGCTTGCCAGTATGTACAGCAGACTGGTCCAGTCTGTCCCACATCTCATTTAGCTCTCCTGTACGTCCATTGGCATTGAAGCCCAGTTCAACCCAACCAGCTCCACTATCCAGCCCACACACATGCTGGCGGGTACCATATTGTCCAGCCACGTCCGCCCAGTCCTGGTTGGTGTGCTCTGCTGTGGGAGTGGTAACCCAAGAGGGAGATGCCCACTACTTCCCTCCTGGGCCCACTCCCTGATCATGGACTCTCCAGGTGATTCTGCAGTTTGACAAAATTATCCCCCGATGCCAGCATCCGCCATCTGATGCTGCGGCAAAGCCCAACCAACCCTCACTCACTCTGATTTACGCTTACACAAGTAGGAGCTGTCAACCCAGCCTGGCTTTTCCCTGATCCAGCTCACAGGAGGCCCAGAGGTGTTATAGCCCTGCCGGGTCTGGTCTACTCCCATTCCAACTCCAGCTCTCCAGTGAGAGTGCTGTTCCAGCAGGGAACCCTCCATATTCCCCCTAGCAGCTTTACCCCTTCCTCCATGGGTATTGCATGTGCTGGTTGGGCGCCGTGGCCTAGTCTGACATGGCCTGCCTCACCTCAGCTTTGCTGGTGGGTGCTGTAACCCGGCCCAGCCTGGCCCGGCCCACCCGCAATTCCAGCTCAGGTTGGTGAGGGCTAAAACCTAGCCAAGCCCAGCCAGTACCTAGTCTAAGCCATAATGTGTACTGGTGTGTGTTGCAACTGGACCTGGCCTGACCCACATTGCATTCTGGTGCTCAGATTGGCCAGTGGGTGATGTGAACTGGCCCTGCCTGGCTCACCCCCTACCTGCGCCAAATGTATGCTGCTGGGTACTGTTCCCTGGCCCGGTTAGGGCTGCTCCTTAGGATGGTTCTTGCGCTCACCTGAATGCACTGTGTCCTGACAGAGGAGTTAAGAAACAAGCTAATTTTTTAAATAGATAAAGGACCTGAATAGATGTTATCCAAAAATGTATACCAAGAGCCAATAGGTATATAAACACATGCTCAGCATCACTAATTGACAGGGAAGTACTGTCCATTACAAAGAGACAGCACTGCACTCTTATTCATGGCTTTTATTATCAAAAAAGCCAGAAGATAACAAGTTTTGATGGGAAGATAGAGAAAAGAAAAATTTATATAGTATTAATAGGAATCTAAATTAGCACAGCCATCATGGAAAATAGTATAGCGGTTCCTCACAAAAATTAAAAATGATCAAGTGACCCCACTTGTGAGAATACATAAATGGACGTGACATCAGAGACTGCAAGGTGTACCCCACGTTCCTTTCAGCATTATCCACAATCGCCCAGGGATGAGAACACTGCAAGTAGTTGTCAACAGACAAATGAGTGAAGAGACCGTAGTACACACAAGGGAATATTATTGAGCTGGTAAAGGACAATAAAGAGGTTCAAAAGCCTTGTTTGTGACAACGTGGATGAAACCAGAAGACAGCAACATGGGTAAAACAGGACGAATAATGCATTATCTTGCTCCCGTGGGTTTTGAGAAAGTTGAACTCATAGAGGCAGGGAGCAGAAAAGTAGCTACGAAGGATGGAGGAGACCTTGTCCACAGAATGTCAAGGCTCGGTTACGTGGTGATCCAGTTCTGGGGAGCTCATTGGTTTGTTGGTTAAAATGGCATTGAACGTGGCACTCACACCTTGGAAGGATATCACAACCAGGCTTATACATAGAGCATATTCGATCTTTATTCGTCAATTAGATATCTTAATAACGGAAGGGAATTAGAATTGAAGCCACAGCATAAAATCATTAACGTACCTAATAATTGTCTACAGAGGACACCAAGAGGGTGACAACACGTCTATATACTGTTGATTATGTTTGATACAAAACTGTATGTGGTGTATTTCTCTAAGCCAATTTATTGCTTCCTCCTCCCTAGGATTCCTGTTGGACTTTAGTAAATCTGAATCTTAAAACAGAAGAGTGCATTGAGCTCAAGTTAGAATTATCTTCCGGTTCAGAGCACATGAAATAATAATGTCTCTATATAATAGTCGGTTAAATATGCATGCTTTTCTGCTTGTGTGGTAATATTTAGAGAGACCTTTTAAAATTGTATTAGACTGCAGTGTTACAGTGCAAATCCAGCAGTTATATTGAGTTTATTTTTTATGAACATTAAAAATACTGGCTTTACTTTGGCAATGAGGATTTTAGATAAAAAAAAATCAAGTAGCTTTCATTTTATGCCTGGTTGGAACTATAGAGAAATAAAATTGCATCGGCTTTTAATACTTCAATCCTTAAACATTTGGTTTCTCTCTAATTCCTGTAGTATTATTTTATTACACATTCAAAACATTGTCTACAATTCTATTGTAAATCCTAAGGAATATTTGGATTAATTGCATTCTTTTCTTTGCTTATTTGACAACCGTTTATACTAAATATCTCACTTGGTTCATTCATGCAAAGCCTTAGCTCTTAGTTTGCTTATTGATTTTTTCCTGTCTATTACTGTTAGATACACGCAAAAATGTGCCTTTAAAGGTAAAGTTTAAATTTGGAATTAACAGAAAATCTTACAGATTTCCTATGAATATTTTCCCAAGAGCTGATAAAAATGTTTTCTTAATGAAGCAAATGTCTGTAGTCCATCTGTCTTGTGGTCGTAATTTTGATTGATATGACACGGTAGGAAGAAGACTGACTGGGGTACTGCTTGTTTCCTCCAGCGGACCCCTGGTGCTGCCAATTGCCAAGCAAGACAGTCTGTTGGAGAAAGACACTATGTTCAGAGAGGTGAGCACAGGTTCGTGTATGCCGCAGTCTCAGGACAGCAGCCCTGAACACACGTCGCCGAGTGACTCCACCACGCCTGAGCAGGTACCGGCACGCTGGCCGCCTGGCTGCCAGCATCTACATGTAAAGTCGCTTCCCCCGAGCCAGCCTTCACAGATAACCACCAGTTTCCATGCACAGCAGAAGTGCTGAGTGTAATCACCATGAACAAGCATGACCGCTGCTGTGGTGTTAGCAATTGTCTAAAGTTTGTAGTCTTGACTTCTGTTCCGGGAATATAAGCTCAGACAAAGCATTACTTCTGAGTGAGTCATTTGTCTCTAGTTCACTGTAACGTAGTTTATGGGGTTTCGAGTCCTTCTATTTTCTGAGTATTCTATACCATCAGATGAAGGGCAATCAAACCACGAGGAGTCTTCTGTTTTTACAGGTGACTGTGCTGGTAATGACATCATGTGTGTCTGTGTGTCTGTGTTTGCATGTATGCATATGTACACATCTCAGTGGCCAAAATCTGAGATCACTTTTAAAGTGGGGTGGTAATGAATTCAGAATTACTGAAATTAGTGTATTTTATAATTATGATGAAAATAGATGGTTTTAATGTTTATATTCTATGAAAGACTGACCGAGTGATTTCAGTCTTTGAAAATACCTTGTCATGATGTCTCATTTTGAATATTTCATTTTAACCAGATTTTCTAAAGTCCTTCTTTTTAAAAGAGAAGTATCTTTAGTTTCATCTATTTAAAGCAATTAGGACAGAGAAAAGGATACTTGAAATACTTTTAAATTTTTGTGGACATCCAGTGGACCCCCTGTGGCTATACTCTCAGATTCCAAAAAGCACAGTTTGAAAATGTTTAGGGTGGGAATTGCATGTGTACTGGGTAGGACTGGACCATTCTTTTGTCATTACTTTCCGAATGCTGTGAAATAACAGCTGTTGACATAGCATCCATGTGTTATCCTGTGTCGTGCGTCATCTAGAAACGACCTCACCTCGAACAATGGAGTGTGCGTGGGTTGCACTTTGCATTTTATATAAATTCTGCACCCATATGTGAGGAGGTAGGGGGATGGAGGGGGCCTGGGAGGTGGTAAATTAGACAGCACTGCTGTAGCAGGGGTGACCTCCAGTGGGGTGAGGTGGTGTGAAGCCCCCCAGGCTGTGGGTTGTGGGTGTGGAAGAAGGATGGAGCGATTGGATCCAGTCATGTCCTAGATGGCAGTGCAGGCAGACATGAAGAAGGGAAGAGAGCGCTTCCCTGGACTCTGCCTCCTCTATCTGTGTTTGCTCTCCTCCCCTCCCCTCTGCCCTCATCACACCACTCTCCTCCCCTCTGCCCTCATCACACGCCACTCTCCTCCCCTCCCCTCTGCCCTCATCACATTCCACTCTCCTCCCCTCCCCTCTGCCCTCATCACACGCCACTCTCCTTCCCTCCCCTCTGCCCTCATCACACACCACTCTCCTCCCCTCCCCTCTGCCCTCATCACACACCACTCTCCTCCCCTCCCCTCTGCCCTCATCACACACCACTCTCCTCCCCTCCCCTCTGCCCTCATCACATTCCACTCTCCTCCCCCCCCCTCTGCCCTCATCACACACCACTCTCCTTCCCTCCGCCCTCATCACACACCACTCTCCTCTCCTCCCCTCTGCCTTCATCACACACCACTCTCCTCCCCTCCCCTCTGCCCTCAACACACGCCAGACTCACATGGTGCCTGTGTTAAACTTGAACCCACAAAATTTGGACTAAGATAAACTAGCTTGCTTCCTAAGTGGTTGTTCTCAGATGTTTTGGTTCTAGGGATGCATACGAGGGAGAGATTGGCTCCAAGCTTCGGCTTAGTCCAGTACTGGCTGTTGTGGCCATTTGGAAAATAAACCAGCAAATAGAAGATCTTCCTTTCTCTTTACACCTCATTCTCTCTGTAATGTTCTTCAAATAAGCCTTTGTTGAAATTTAGTTTTCATCTGGTAATTTGATTTTTTCCATGGGAATTTTTTTTAATTTTATTTTTGATGATGTTTACATAGTTGATTAGGGAAGGAAGAGTTGAGGGATAGGAGAAAGAGACCACTGTTTTCCACATTTTCTTGTTTTCCTTTTTCTGTATCTGTGGGAAGGGGAGGACAGGACGGGAGAAGCCACTCCCAGGCTGTCAAGCACCTCAGTGCTCAGGGGTGGGAAATGGCCAGCAGTGGCGTTCCAGGCTCCCCGAGGTGCAGCATGCTCCAAGGGTCTGCCTAGGTGGTTTCAGTCCTTCTAAAATGCTGGCCTCCCGCCACTCCAAAGGTGAGGAAATCCTTCCAAGGTCTATTGGCGACACAATCCACCACAGTCTCCATTCACCCAGATATTTGCTATCAGTGCTTAGTTAAGGTAGGTGAGCTATTTGTTCTGCTCTCGTCCAGTGAACTACCATATTCTCCATGTGTATCTGGGCATGCCGTCCACTGCTCTGTCTTAGCTGCTGAGGAGGTCAGTTCTGACACATGCACTCCACAGTCAGATCACAGATCCAGCGTTTCTCCCATGGCTGGAGTTCTGAGTCCAGTGGTTCAGTTCGGGGGATCCCCATTGTAACCTCATCTTAGGTGATCCCAGCCTTGACTCTTGTATGTGCTTGTCAATATGGGGTCCAGCTTAACTTAAATACTGCCCTGAACTTGAACCCCATCCTGGATTGCCTGGCAGGGCTGACCAAATAAATGATGCTATGGGCTTGCATAGCTGGTGGACCAGATGTTCCTCCTTTCCCCCTGGAGTACAGCAATGAAAGGACTAGTTAAAACTAGATAAGGAAGCTGGATTATAGTGACCAAGAGATTAACAAGGAGCAGGTGAGGATGTTAGACTATAGCAATGAATGGAATGCTTAAAGAAGTTGGACTACAGCAGTAAAAGAACTAAGAGTGGGGGCTGGCATGGTGGCTCAGCAAGCTAAAATCCACCTGCAAGTACTGGCGTCCCATGTGGGCTGTGGTTTGTATCCCAACTGCCCCACTTCCAATCCAGCTCCATGCCTGTGGCCTGGGAAAGCAATGGGGAATGTCTCAGGTCCTTGGACACCTACACTCATGCAGGAGAAATGGAGGGGGCTCCTGGTTCCTGGCTTCAGATTTACTCAGCTCTAGCCATTTGTTGCCATCTGGGGAGTGAATCAGTAGCTGCAAAATCTTTCTCTGACTCTCTTTCTGTAAATATACCTTAAAAAAACTAATTAAGAAAATTAGACTCATTTCCTTCAACAAACGTAGAGTGAGCACCTTTGCAGAGAGCCGCATAGCAACAAGACTGTTGGCTTGGCCACACTTCACTCAGACTCTTACTGTCTCCTAGGACTGTCTGAGCTCTTCCACATTAATATTCAAAATTTGGTAAAAATACTCTGCCACTCCCTTTAGTCGTCCCACCTTCAGTTTGGGTCCTGCTTGATGACCAGGCAGTATGCACACATGTCCGGGACCCTGGTCCTGCACCTTCCCAGGGAGCCCTCCTGGCTCCAGCCCCTCTCAGAACACATTGAATCAAGCCTTGTTAGACTGTCTTCTCTCACTTCATGTTCCTCCCCAGTCACGTGCCATCCTCTGAATCCGCTCCCCCACCAACCCCGAACTCTGGCTAGAAATTCCCCCTCTCCAGGTTTTCTTTTACATGAACCCGGTTTGTGTCCTTTCTTTCCCACTGCCCTGCTCCTTGTACGTGGCTTGGTCCCATGGACGAATTCTTTAACAGGTCCCATGGACGAATTCTTCCAACAGGAGACTCCAGAGCAGCCTCGTGTGAAGTCGGCAGAAAGCTGATCCTGGGTGTGCAAGCCCTTTCTCTGTGTGTCACTGACCATGCTGATGACACACATTGGCTACAGGGCGGGCCCGGTGCCAGCTCCTCCTGCAACTAATGAGGGATGCATGGATCACGTTCCGTAAGATGATGTGAACGTCAAAGACCCTTCAAGACTTCACAACTGGGGCTAATGCTGATCATACACCACAATCTGAGGGAGCAATTTAAATGAACTTGAAAAGTTTAGCATTTAATTTAAATGAATTTGAGTTGTTTGGCATTCAAAGTAGAAGATCTCAAGTTGATGTCTAAGACTTAAAAAAAAAGAAAAAGGTCATTTGTTTCAAAGGCAGAGTAAGAGAAGGAAAGGGGGAGAGAGATTTTCCATCTACTGGTTCACTCCTCAGATGACTGCAATGGCCAGAGCTAGTACAGGACAAAACCAGGAGCTGGGAACTGCGCACACCTCCCATATGTGTGGCAGTGGCTGCCCTCCACTGCTTTCCTAGGCACTTTAGCAGGGGACTAGACGGGAAGCCAAGCCACTAGGGCCTTGAACTGGTACCCTGATATGGATGGAATCAGACCAGCATTCTATGCGTGGGAAAACCTTGAAAATGAAATGACAGGAAAAGATGATGTCATACAATCCTAACATTGTTTGTCACTCCAGGAAAGTTAGGGTATTGGGGATTTTTTTTTTTACCTAGCTGTAGGAGAAACAAAGAGAGAGAGAAGTCCTCTTGATGCAGTCCCAAATGTCTTCAGTGGCCCGAAAGTAACGGCTGAAGCTTGACCCAGGCCTCCCATGTCTGCCCCATCACTAGGAACTCCCAGAGGTGCGAGCAGGAAAGTGGAGCCAGGAGCTGATAGTGGGTACCAAACCCAGGGACTTAACCACTAGGCCGATTGCCCTATGACTTGTTCTTTTGTTCTTTTGTTCTCACTAAAGTATATAAGTTATTGGATCCCATTTAAAAATATTTGTTGAACTACTTCTTGTAAAAATTTGTGTTTATTCTAAAAGCAGAGTTAGAGGGGTAGAGAGAGAGAGAGAGAGAGAGAAGGAGAGAAACACATAGGAAGAGAGAGAGATCTTTGATCACTAATTCACTCCCCATATGGCTGCAATGGCCAGGGTGGGCCAGGCCGAAGCAAAGAGAGCTTCTGGGTCTGCATGCAGTTACCAGGGGCCCAAGGACTTAGGTCATCTGCCCCCAGGAGCTTTATCGGAAGTGGAGCAGCTGGTGCTGAAACTGGCACCTTATACTGTGCCAATGTGGCAGTTACTTAACCCGTGGAGTCACAACATGGACCCCCGTTTAAATGTATTTCTGATAGCCTCAAAGCTTTAAAGGTATTCTTCTAATCCAACGTTACATGACTAATTTCAAAAACTCTTGTAGTTAACTTTGAAAAATTCTTTGAGAAGTTACACACACATGATGCATTTGTTACATATAAAATGCATTTACATAGTATATATATCATGTAATTTGCATGTACAAATACTGCAGGACTAGAGATAAAGTGGCTGAGTGAGGAATGGGGAGTTGATGACATCTCTGAGTTCTGGTGTATTTTATAAACATATTTGAGATAAGTCAGCGAGATGCTGCCGCGCTGTTGTGCTGGCACCTCTGCAGGGCAGTTCATGGCCCGCCTTTCTCTGACTTGGGAGGTGCTTCCTGCGAAGCTGGTGTCCCTGTGAGCATGTAGGACCCGGTGACCAGCTTCAGCTCTCCTGAGAGATATCTCACTGTGAGAAATATTCACAAGCACCAGAGCTAGCCCTGGGTTTAACATCTTTTTTTTTTTTTTTAAAGATTTATTTTTATTATTTTTTCATTGGAAAGGTGGATATACAGAGAGGAAGATCTTCCATCCCATGATTCACTCTCCAAGTGAGTGCAACGGCTGATACTATGCCGATCTGAAGCCAGGAGCCTCTCCTGGGTCTCCCATACGGGTGCAGGGTCCCAAAGCTTTGGGCTGTCCTCGACTGCTTTCCCAGGCCACAGGCAGGGAGCTGGAAGGGAAGCGGGGCTGCCGGGATTAGAACCGGCGCCCATATGGGATCCCGGGCGTGCAAGGCGAGGACCTTAACCACTGCGCCACCGCGCCGGGCCCGGGTTTAACATCATCTTAGCGATGTATGTGTGTGTGCTGCTGCATGCACTTTTACCTTGGAGTCAGCAATGTTTAGGTCCCAATAGTTGCAGTGATATGTTCAGGTAATGGTGTGTGGTCTGTAGTGAAATTACAGGCATAAAGTGCAAATGCAAGCATGAATACAAACTATCAACTTGTTCCTGTTGAAGAGCGACTAGGGACATCCAGAGCTCACCAAGGCTTTGTCCAGGACCGTTTTCTTTCACTCCTGTGCTGACTGACGGGGTAAAGCGGGCGGCTTTGCAGTTCTCTAAATTGTAGCACACCTCGTGCATGTGTAGCAGTAAGCATTGCTATGCCAACTTGGAAACAACATTTTCACTGAACTGAGGGATACTGGTCCCTCTTTTTTATTTGAAATACTACCCGGTTTTTAATAAACTGTCACTTTATATTAAACTGAATAACAACAGTTGTATTTATCATAGAATTACAAGTAATGTAGAGCAGAATAAATATCACAAACTGAGATCTAAATTCGGCTCACTTCACGTGATTGAGCTACCAGATTCTGTGCAGGTCACTTTCTCTGTCGGCTAATGAGTCACAAGAGAAGTTTCATTTTTGCTTTGAGAAGAAGGCTTTTCAGCTGTCTAATAACCAGCACTCAGTTCAGCCCACACTTACACAGAGCTGTGGAGCACAGAGCAGAAGGCCCACGCAATTAACGGACATGTTGCCACAGTCGCTCTCTCTGATATAGTGACTTGCACGGGTGCGAGCTACTGCATGGCTTATGTGCACCTGCACGTGGGCCCGAGACACCACCTCTCTTGTGAATGTGCTTTTCCATGCCTTCAATTTGTTTTTCTGCTTTTATTGGCCCTTGCCTCTTTTCACAGTAGCTTCTAGGTTCTGGAAGGGTGTAGAAAGGGGGGCCTCTGACTGTGAGTGAAGCAGAGTGGGAGGCAATTAGCAATGATCAGCCTTGTTTCTTCTCAGGTCAAGCTCGTGCCTCCTGCGCCCAGCGACGACCTGGCAACGCTCAGTGAGCTCACGGATGGCAGTCTGCTCTATGAGATGCAGAAGCGCTTTGGGAACAATCAGATTTATGTGAGTGCCCTGCCGTTGCCTTTTGCATTGATTGCCTGGCCAGCCCTTTTCTCTCCCTGCAGTGTTGTAAGCATTGCAGGGACGGGGTTCCTGGGGGGCTTCCAGTCACCATGGCTGCTGAAACCTCAGCTCTCTTCCGGCTTAGTCAAAAGGCAAGTTTGGGCTAAGTTCCAAACTTTGTGCAGGGTGGACTGAAGCCCTGAATGTGCACAGGAGGACGCACTGCTGTTAAACTCCCCTTTGGGATGATTGCTCTGGAAGCCCTGGCTGACGCCAGCCAGCACATCTATGGCTTATGCAGATGCTGCTCCGTGTGGGCCTGGAAGCTCATGCAGATCCTCTCCTGTGGGTGGAGCTGCTCCTATCCACCTGAACAGAGTTCTGTTGTGCCTTCAATGACCAGGAAACGTCTTTGTAAAGTGAATAATTCATATGCTCATTTCTGATAATTATCTGCAAAAATATCAGATGACAGCTCAAAGAATTAATTTACTGTAGCTCGATCCAATACTGCTAATTGATACAATCTGTTATCTCATTACTGTGTCTACCCTGCTCAGTGTGTCTCTTTCTCGTTGATTGTGTTAGCTTCCACACACAGCACACAATTCAATCAGAATGTCTATAGGGAAATCTGATTATGCACAAACTTGCTATCTCTTTTAATAACATCTGTTTTTTCCCCTGTCTACTGAGAAATTGATTAAGTAATTTTCATGTAAATGTGAAGTCTTCAGTTTTCCTTACGAGTAATAAATTGTCAGCTGCTGATTAGCCTATGAAAATGCAATACAGCATCTTAATGCTTGGATAAATTGCCTGTCACGATACACACACCTTAAAAATTAAATACTTCCATCAAAATTAATGAAATTGAGCCATTGGCATGAAGTGCTGCAAGCTGGTTTCCTGGTCTCTGTATCCCGTTAGTCTTTTCGAAGAGGGTGTTGTTTTACTGTGTTCTCTCGTGTGTTGGTTTCTTTCCTGCCAAGTCCAGCCTTGACTGGGAGCACTAGAGGCCTGGGATGGTGAATGACTGCGGGGACTGCCCAGCGTTTCTTTATTCCCTGCATGCTTTCCCCTTGGCTGTCCCCTGAATGTGCACGCCGTGCCTTTCTGCTCCTGCTGTGGCCAGCACCCTCACCAAATCCCCTTCACCCCTTCCCCAGCAGCCAGTTGTTTCTGCAGGAATCTTTCTTTGGAGTGCCAGCTCGCCGTACACTAATGTAGCTTTTGCAGTCCACGGGTATGTCCTCAATCCTCCATCTCTAGTCCCTGCTGTGTCATTCCTCACAAGTCCAGAATCCTCTCTCTGCCGCCTGGAATCCTGACAATGAGATTCCCAAGGCTTAGCCGCTCAGCACTTAATCTCAACTGCATGATTCTCACCCTCCTTCCACCATCCAGGACTTTCCTGAGACCATTGTCCTGGGCTCTGAGGTCCAGGGCCTTCCCACAGAAGTACTGAGCTGGACAGTCCCTGCAGAATGTTTTGCAGTCTTTGGTAAGCCTCCCTGGGCTTCCTGGCTAGCCATGGTGCCGTTCTCTGGAGCAGTTGCCACAGCTTTGAGTTCTGTACCTTGTTCTGTCTTTGTTGGCATCTGGCTGCCTTCTGGACGCTGCCTCCTGTCCAGTGAACCTTGCCTGCCTGTTGCCCTCACCAGGAGACCTGGCCAGTGCCTGGTCTGAAAGGGTTGGGGGCTCTCTCCCAGCTTGGCAGGGTCCTGACTCCGGCTCTTCCACAGAATGGCTGTCTTCATGGGTGCTGTTTATCTACCCAGTGCCTCTCTCTGTCTAGATAATCGGAATTTAGTACTTCTGATTTGCTAACACTCACCTCAGATATGAACCCGTCACTGTGCAAAGTGTGGTTTTCCTTACCCCCATAGCTGAGATATTGAGGACTAAATCCCTGGACTGATTTTTACCTTAGGGGTGCCCTAAGGTATGGTGTCTGAACTTGTGTGTGACACAAAGACAGGAACTTAAACATTGTGGATTGAGTCTTGACAAGTGGTTCTTGAGAATCTTCCGTAAGATCAGTCTACCAGGAGCTTAAGGAAAATTGGAAGAAATTCTTGTAGCAGTTCAATGATTTACTTTCTGCCCATTAGATCTAATAAGAATCAGAGTTTATAGTTGCATGTCTTTGTCCCTTTGCAATGTTATTTTCCTGGGTCATTTGGTTAAGAGGATTTCAGGGAGGTGAGTTGCCCAGGAAGATGAGACACTGAGCTTTCTTTCCCTTCACTGACATCTGATATTGTGTAGATGGAGACAATTTAACATTGCCCCAGCCCTGTAGTTGAGGCTGTTTTTTTTCTGTCTAATCTTTGTATCTCATTTTTTGTTCATTTAAACAGTATTTTTGTTAATTCAAAGAGTATTTTTCTGTTTCTCTGCTTTGATAATTCTGTTTTGTATCTTTTTAATTACTACATGGTAACATAGTATTCTTGATTCTATCAACTTCTTCCTGTGGTTAGTACTTATTTAAACTCAGTTTGACAATTTTGTAATCATAAACCATATGTTTAATTGGTAATAAGATGTAGCTTTTTCAAAGAGATCTTTCTTATTTATGTGAAAGAGTGAGAGTAGCAGAGAGAGAGAAATCTTCTGTCCTTGATTCTCTTCCTAAATGATCTCAGTGAGTGCTTCCTGGCCAGGGCAGAATCACCTGCATGTCCCCATCTTCCTCCGTCCCAGGTACTGTAGCAGGGAGCTGGACTGGAAGTGGAGCAGCTGGGACTCAGAGGATCCCATGCGTGCTAGCACTGCGTGCTGGGACTTGGCACACTTCACCACAGTGCCAGTCCTTGGCTTTTACTCAGGCTTGCATTCACAAAATCTGGTTAGGGTAAATTCTTAGAATTCATCCAATTGACTTAATATGCGGCCTATTTGTTTAGTACATTTATTTGACTTTTCTACTTTTACAACACATTTTTGAACAATTTTATAACGTCCAAGTATGATGCTTTTCACTGCTCTGCTGTGAACAACCTTTTAAAAACAATTTTCATTTTTAAAAGTGCTATTCATGTGTTTCATGGCTTCTTTGTACCTTTTTCAACAGACTTTCATTGGGGACGTCCTGTTGTTTGTCAATCCATTCAAGGAGCTTCCTATTTATTCTACCCTGGTAAGTATCGAGTTCAGAGTAGCATTTAACATGGCACCCATTACAAAGGAAAAGCAAAATCGCAAGTAGCTTCCAACTTTTTATAGTTATTCAATGTGCTGAATTAGATGGTTGCAGGATAGTGATTTTAACCTCTTGAGCAAATTTGTAAATCGAAATATTCTATCACAAGTTTCCTTTACAAGCTGTATCATGTTTCTATAACTGTAAGTGGACAGGCTTCTAAAATTGGATAGCATAGACCATGTTTCCCACGGCGTCTTGAGTGATTCAGGAACTCGGTTGGTTGCGAGTCCCTTTCTTTCAAAAGCATTGGGCGTTAAACAAGGCAACCTTTTCAGATGTGCCTTCTCCCAGAGGACTTCCCAGTTTTAACTGTGACTCATGCAAAGTTAAAGGAGGCGTTGTTCATGAAATATTACTGTAGCCAACAGCACGGGTTGACTTAACACACTCCTGAGAACACTCTGTTTTATGAGTAAATGCAAGGCTGTTCCAAGTGAGACTCAGGACCCCTAACGGGGGCAGTGACACCCCAACAGGAGTCCTGATGTTTTAAGGGGGTGTGGGTGGAAGGAGATATACAAAGACAGATTGAAGATTTAAGTCCTTAGGGGATCAAGTAAGGATTTTGACAGTGGTCGCTGCTGAGAGCAGGAGCGTGCCCCTCACCACTGCATTCTCAGCCACCTTGCCAAATGTCTGTGCCATGTGACTTTGAAACTGTGTTAAGTCTGTGTGCCATTCCCATTCTGTCCAGTCCCACCCTAATCCTCCAGCATCCTCAGCCTCTGACACTGGAGCGTATGAAGCATGAAGGAGCAGATCAGGGGTGTCACCCACAGCCGCTCCAGTGGATACACCCAGGAGGGAAGCACCTGTGCCTTGTGTCCATGAGGGTTTTCATGTAGAATTCCATGCAGTGTCCATCCTTTTGCTGCTGAGTCAAGGCTAATATTTGCATAGTATGTTAATTCAAGCATTATATACACATTGCACAGAGCACAACCTGGCTTTATACAGAACAATGACACACCTGAAAGCATCAGAAATAAGCAGGATGTCCATGGCCTCTCAGGTCAGAGCATCCTGTCAGAACATCCTGTCCCAGCAAGCCACATAGTCCAGCTGTCACCGTCTGCATGCATTGGTTTGTAACAGTCAAACCTTAGAGAGTCCTTTCACTGGATCTGGTTTCTTCCTCCCGCTGTTTTGGAGGAGAGATTCATCCATGATTTGGCATGGAGTTCTGCAATAGGTACAGTAGGGTGCTTTCATTATCATTGTTTTAAAATCCCTGCTGTGGATAAGTGGCAGTTTAATTAACATGGAAGGCTAGTGATTCTGTGTCTTCACACATCTTTTGGATACCATGTGTGCTGCCTGTCTGAGATGAGCCCACAGTGGAGTTGGAATGTCAGAGTGCCCAGGCTTGGCAGACAGACAGCTCTCCAAGTGGATGTCTTGCTGTGCAGAGCCACTTCACAGAAACTCCACTTACTTTTCTGCTTTGCCCACATTTAATTCATCTTGTTTCCTTGTTTATCATTCTATGGAATAAACAAAGAAAGATAAAGAATAGACAGAGGGAGAAAGAGAGGTCTTCCATCTGTTGCTTGATTCTGCAGGTGGCCATAATGGCCGGGGCTGGACTGGTCCAAAGCCAACAACCTGGATCTTCCTGTGGGTCTCCCACGTGAGTGGCAGGGGCACAAGGACTTGGGGCATACTCCACTGCTTTCTTACATGCAATAGTAGGGAAGTGAATTAGAAGCAGGATAGTGGAGACTTGAACCTGTGCTGATACTGCAGGCTGGCATTTCAAGCCACGGGTCCACTGCTGTACCATGGCACAAGCCATGAGCATTCAGTTTCCACAGCTCACAAGTGTCAGGTGAGAGATGACCACGAGGCCCATGTGTCTTTCCACCATTACTGAGCTCCTGACCTCAACATGTGCTCCCTACACCCCAGAACAATGAGGCAGCTAAGGTCTCTTAGCTCTTCAGAAAATCATTTTACTGTCTTGAGACCACAGAGTTTTACACAGAGAAATGACAGTGCAGGCTGAAAGAATACCAGAAAACAGAGTCTTGATACTCTGTAATATCCCAGATTGTGAAGTCCGGGCTGCTCTTGTGGCTGCCTAAGGCACAGAGTTAGATGCTTCTGTTTCATGTTATGTGGTATTTGCCATTAATCATGTTAAGAGAATTGGTCTGACACCAGAATAAGATAAAGGTAGCCAGATCTACTTTGTAAAGTACTTATTTATTTTATTTGAAATAGTAATAGAGGGTAACACAGAAAGATATCTACACTGGCTTACTGTAAATATTAGCTGTAGCCAGGGAACAGGAATTCTATTCAGATCTCCTACATGGTGCCTAAACACCTGAGCCATCATCCACTGCCTTCAAGTCAAATAGAATTGGAGTAGGTGGGACTCAAACAAGGCACTCGAGTGAGGCATGGACTGAACCATGCTCCGAGGAGCAGCTTCACGTGCTGTGTCTCAACACCCTTCCTGGAGCTCCAGTGGTGCGATCGGTTACCTGGCGGTACTTGCACAACACCCTTCCTGGCTCTCTCTCTCTCCCATCCCCTGTAGCTGTGTACATTACCCAAATATCAGAGGATCATTTCGCTTCAAATGCCTAAGCTGATCTGAGGTTCAGTATTATTTAATTCTGTGTGTGTTGACAATTGTGGGGAGACAGAGACAGAGAACATGTACTGTAGAAAATGAACAGAGGCATACATTGAGGTTCAGTGGGCTAAGCCACCCCAAAGCCAAAGCACCCCAGATCACATCCCACCTTCACCCAATCCTTGGTTCCTGGCTCCTGCCTGGCCAAGTCCTGCTCACTAGTGGGCATTTACAGCATGAATCAACAGATGGAAGACCCCTACATCTATCTGCCTTCTGCCTCTCTTTGATTCTCAAATAAAAATGTTACTATACATTTGAAAAATTAAGTTAGCTGTTAACGTATTATCCCTGGCTTATACTTATGATGTCACAGTTGTCTTTAGAGTTAGCAAAAATCTTATCATGAAGCAATATTTAAATGAAAAACATGCAGCACGTGGGTTTTGAGACCCCATCACTTGTGCTGTCACTGCTACCTGTGGGCTCTGCCTGAGCAGGACACGGGCCAGGAGTGCGGCCTGGACTTTGCTGTGGGACTCAGTTCTCCTGTCCAGTATTTTAGTGTCTAGGTCAGAAATTATAGCTGGGATTGTTTCTAGAACAGTTCGTTAAGACCTCATATGGCCAATGTAAAATAATTCCCATGGTTATAAAAATATAGTCTATATAATTCATGCATAGTAATGTTTTAAAATTATTAGTAAAGTATATTATGTGTAATAAGTATATGCATATAAGCATATTAAATATTTAAATATATATTGAATTTTAATAAACTATATATAAATGAACTTATATTTATCACCCCTCACATTTACCATTTACAAATCACTCTGTCAGAAAACACGTGGAAATCTGCTAGTCAATGATGGAAAGCTTACAGTGAATGTCCTGCTTTCCACGGGAAGTGGTGGGGGAGTTCACACGTGGCCTAGTAACAATTACAAACATTGTCAGAATGGAATTGTTTTGTTGAATTACTGGGCGTCTTCTGTATCAGAATTAGGGCTTAAAGTTTAATATCAGCTGCTCATGTGGAAGTGGTACTGCTGTCCTCCGTTGACTGTGTGTTTGAGTCTTGTTGTCAATGACCCGCTTGGCCCAGATACCTTGTTTTCTTGCTGCGCTGATTAATTTGATGAAATAACAGTGAGCAGGACCCCATCTCTCCCAATGATAAAGGCAGGAAGGCAGCTCGTGTGCCTCATGTTTTAAGAACTCACGTGCAGCATCTGTGTTTTAGCTACTGTTAGAGGTGTGGGATTAAGCTTTTGCATAATGCACATTTCCCTCTCCAGCGAGTCATTAATCACAGGGCTGGAATGCCCTTCATGTCTGGCTTTCTCCTGAGACACCCAGTAACACATGCCAGCAGGCAGCCCCCCCTTCCCGTGGATGCAGCGAGCACAGTCCTAGGGCAGAGCTCCCACCACGAGTGGCAGGCAGGTCTGGGCACAAACTGACGCCATGGCACAGGCTGCATTATAGGATGCCCATCTATGGCAAGGACGAGTCACGTGGTTCATTTTAAACGCAGGGGATAGAATAGGGAAGAAAAAAGTAGAAACTAGTTTGAGTCTTTCAGTACACACACGCTTTGCCAAGCTACTGAATGTTGGTTGGCAGGGATGCTGAGTTCCTCACCCTAGGAACTGCATCCTTCCAGAGAACCACAGGCAGGGATCCCTTGAGGACACGCACTGGTGGTGGCCGGTCTGGAGCCGAGAAAGGAAAGGAGCCCTGTTAGGAATGCATGGAAAGCGGTATTATGGGGACAGAGCAGAGCACACTGGGATTCCAGGAAGGCCTGGGGGATCTTGGCCCAGGTGAGCCGATGGGAGCCCCATTCCGAAGGTGAGGAGACAGAGGCCATCCCAAGGACCGATCGGCAGTCACGAAGCTGTGTAACTGGAGAACTTGACTCTAAGGAGGGCAGTGTGTGATTCAGAACATCAAGAACCACTGGGAGAGAAAAAGCAATTGGACCCGAATTGTTGAAAGCCTGCTTACTCCAATCGATGTGAGGAGCAGAGACATTTGGGCAGAAAGGAGCTTATGAACTCAGACAAACCAAGGGTCAGCTAGTCAGAGTCGACAGCACAGGGAAAGGGTGCAGTGGCTGAAGACCAGCAAGCCGATTTGAGGGATGTGCATTTATGGGTGAAAGTTAACAGCGTGGTCTCCGGTCGGCCTGACCCATGTCCGTGCACATAGTGTTTGGGAGATTCATCGTTATTTATTATTGACATCCATTCTGCTTTTTAAAATTCTTCTCTTATAAGTTTCAACCACTTAAAATGGACATAAAACTCTGCAACGAATGGTTATAAGCAACATTTTCTCGACTATGTGGTCCCATCAATTTTAGGATATGGTTACTACTTCTGACAAATGAGGACACTCAGCTGTGTAACCAGGACAGTGGCCTAACCAGGAGACCTTGCTGTAAACAGCCCCATGTCCCTGTAACAGCCACCCAGCCAATGGCCCCAGGACCGCCAGGCCCCTCCCGCAAGCCAACAGCCCTGGGACCGTCAGGCCCCTTCCCCCACCCCCCGCACTGTGATTCTGAACTTGCTATCCAACCTTAAATCTGTGAAGCCGAAATTAAATGTGTGCATTGCTCATGACCCAGAATCTTCCTGTTACTTAGTTCTTATTCTATTGTTGCCAGCTTCACTAGCAACTCAAAACTAAAAATACTAACACTGAATCATGTCGGCAATCCCCGTTGCGCTGGAATTAAGTGCATTATCATTAGGTTTTGATTTTCTGAGGAATTGGTGGACTTGAGTCATTTCAGCTGCAGGTGCTCCTTATTCTATTTTAGAATCCTAGCTGCCTTATGCTATTGAAATGGTTGTGGAGAGCAGTGGTGTTTGATGTGAATTATGCTTCCCACTTACTACCCTGATGTCTATTAAGCTGTATTTTTATGAGTTGTTCTTTTTAAAAACAGCAGAATACTTTAAAGCAAGAGAGTGCTGAAGCTAATAAGCTATCAGCTACAGTTTTGTCACTGTGCATGTTTAATATTTGCTGAGAAGGGGAAATTTTACAGAGATTTCCTGATACAAATCAGAGTCAAAGTTAGATGCACTCGCTTTGGTCCAGTGTGGAAGGAAAGCCAGCTGCATCAGTACCAAGGAAGCCCCAGGGACCTCATCACGGAGGACCTGCCTTTGCGGCCTTGTGTTTCAGGTCTCGGAGCTCTACCTGAGCGACACAGGGAGGCCCAGCCCCTCGCTGCCACCACATCTGTTCTCCTGTGCGGAGAGAGCCTTCCATCAGCTGTTCCAGGAGCAGCGGTCCCAGTGCTTCATCCTCAGGTGAGTCCCTGCCTGCTGCCCTGGCGCAGGTGCACCCTGCAGGTGGGTGCCCAGCAGACTTGGCATCAAGCGAGCGCGCTGCTCTCTTGGGTTGGGCTAGTTCAGCGGCTCAGCAGTTCAAAGCCCCATCTTTCATGGCCATAAGCACATGTGACTCCTTCCAAATGATAGACATTTTTGCAACTAGAGACGACCATGAGTGTGGGTGAAGTAATGTCAACAAGTTTGACCTGAAACTCATTTCTCCTTTGAAAATGGAGACCTGGGATCTGGAGTTTGGTCTCAAAGCTGAGAAAACATGACCAGAGCAGTGGTGGACAACACAGAACCTTTCTTCTTGCCCCACGTTTAGGTTTTCACCTGGGCGTCCTGTGCTCATGGTCCCCCAAGTTACTCCTCCACAGGTGTCTGTGTGTACGTGTGTGTATATATATGTATATATATAGTATATATTGTGTACATATATATATTGTTTTGTATACATATTCATGTATATTGGAAGCGTGATGGTGGCTTTAGCTTGCAAAAGTTAAAATGCTCACAGGATGATTGACATGTAGGGAAACTGAATGTATAGGATGTTCATGGAAGCTGAGCCAGGTGCCTGGGAGCTTCCGTATTCACAGTGGGGCCATTGGGAGCTTCTGTGTTCACAGTGGAACCATCCGTGTTCACAGTGGGGCCATCATGAGCTTCCGTGTTCACAGTGTGACCATCTGTGTTCACAGTGGTGCCATTGGGAGCTTCTGTGTTCACAGTGGAACCATCCATGTTCACAGTGGGACCATCTGTGTTCACCATGGGGCCATCATGAGCTTCTTGTTCACAATGGCACCATCCGTGTTCACAGTGTGACCATCTGTGTTCACAGTGGGACCATAAGTGTTCACAGTGGGACCATCCGTGTTCACAGTGTGACCATCCGTGTTCACATTGGGACCATCTGTGTTCACAGTGGGGCCATCTGGAGCTTCCGTGTTCACAGTGGAACCATCTGTGTTTACAGTGGGACCATCATGAGCTTGCTTGTTCACAGTGGGACCATCCGTGTTCATAGTGGGGCCATCTGGAGCTTCCATGTTCACAGTGGAACCATCCGTGTTCACAGTGGGACCATCCGTGTTCACAGTGGGGCCATCAGGAGCTTCCATGTTCACAGTGGAACCATCCGTGTTCACAGTGGGGCCATCAGGAGCTTCCATGTTCACAGTGGGACCATCCGTGTTCACAGTGGGACCATCTGTGTTCACAGTATGACCATCGGGAGCTTCCGTGTTCACAGTGGGACCATCAGGAGCTTCTGTGTTCACAGTGGAACCATCCGTGTTCACAGTGGGGCCATCAGGAGCTTCCATGTTCACAGTGGGACCATCCGTGTTCACAGTGGGACCATCTGTGTTCACAGTATGACCATCGGGAGCTTCCGTGTTCACAGTGGGACCATCAGGAGCTTCTGTGTTCACAGTGGGGCCATCAGGAGCTTCCGTGTTCACAGTGGGGCCATCAGGAGCTTCCGTGTTCACAGTGGGACCATCAGGAGCTTCCGTGTTCACAGTGGGGCCATCAGGAGCTTCCGTGTTCACAGTGGGGCCATCAGGAGCTTCCATGTTCACAGTGGAACCATCCATGTTCACCTTGGGACCATCTGTGTTCACAGTATGACCATCGGGAGCTTTCGTGTTCACAGTGGGACCATCCGTGTTCACCTTGGGACCATCTGTGTTCACAGTGGGGCCATCAGGAGCTTCCGTGTTCACAGTATGGCCATCGGGAGCTTCCGTGTTCACAGTGGGACCATCTGTCTTCTGCCTCTAGCATGAGCAGATCTCTACCCTGAATCAAGAATTCCCTTCCTGTCAGCTTTTTTTTTTTTTTAACTGGGCTCCCTGATCTTTGCTAAGAAGGGAGTTACTTTTTAAAAGCCGTTTGGAGGATGTGTGAAATGCACTGTGGTGTTGAGTCATGGGAACGCAGCACCTGCAGGCCCTGGCCCCAGTGCTTCCTGCACTGGCCTGCTCCCTCTGTTGGACGGGAGGATACCGTGGCATCACTGTCACTCAGTGGGGATACTGTTGAGCTTCAGCATCATTGCATATGCCAGGGGACTGTCCAAAGGGCTGGATAATTAGCTCAGGGTCCCCAGGAGTAGCCAATGGTGGCTCTGGCAAGTGAGCCAAAATTTAGTCCTGAACCCACATGAAGATAACTGAATGGCCAAGCCAAAACAGATCCACAGCTGCCACCTGCTGCTCACTGAGCAGGGCCTCACCTGTAGCCTGTGCCCACCATCGCTGGGTCAGTGTTCACAGGTCCCAGGATTTGCTCACATTCTTGTCGAATCCCGCTAACCATTCCAGTTACTGCCCCAGAGGTGCATGTGGCCAGTCTCTGGGGGAGAAGAGGAGCCAGTGGAACACTGTCCCATGGGAGCCTGCCCATTCCAGAGCACACAACTTCCAGTCCATTTTTTCAGTAAATAAACCTTTTGTCTTCATTTAACTCAATGAGTTCTACATGTATTTTTCCTAATAGGGCTTGCTAATATCCTGTTTGGGGGGCATTTTTTTAAAGATTTATTTTATTGGAAAAGGAAATCAGATTTACAGAAACAAGGAGAGACAGAAAAATCTCTTGTCTGCTGATTCACTCCCCAAAAGCTACAATGACCAGAGCTGAGTCATTCCAAACCCTCTTCTGGGTTTTCCAAGTGGGTTCAAGGTCCCAAGACTTTGGGCCATCCTCTGCTACTTTCCAGCCCACAAGCAGGAAACTGGGTGGGATGTGGAACAGCTGGGAAATGAACCAGCATTCTTATGGGATCCCTGCACTTGCAAGGTGAAGATTGAGCTGTTGAACCATCATGCCAGGCCCTCCTTGGAGTGTTCTCTGCAGGCTACTTGGTTATCTGCTTCCTTAGGGAAAAAAAAATGTCTGTTCAGAGTTCGAGAAGTCACTCTTTCATACTGGGAAGGAATTCAGGAACAATGTTGAAACACCAGGACTGGATCTTTTGACACAGTTCTCTCTCAGAATTGGCTGCCTCTAAGAGTCTTGCAAGCTCGGTGATGGCTTTCACTCACTGGTTTTCCCTGTTGGTGCCAAATGTGGACACATGTTTATAAAGCCTTGGCAGTATCTGCTACCTCCCATGATTAACATCCATCCACAAAGGCGGATGTGAGAGTTGATGATCAGAATTCAAGCGTCCGTGTGAAGGATGTCCCAGAACTTAGGACCAGATGAGAAATCTAATTTTAGTTCCAAATTTTAATTTCATTCTGTTGATAATTTTATACCCCAAGGATTAAAAATTTAAAATCAGCACAAATGGGAGAAAATCATGAACATCTTGAGACTTAGTGAAATGTCGTTTTTTTTCAAACAATCTTTGATCAGTGTCACTGGGACCGGAATTTCAAAGTAGAAACTATTGGGTGAAGACAAGCTCTGCATCTGAAGACAGTACTAGCTTTATGGTTCTATAGCAAACCACTTTGGGACAGTAAATGTTGCAGCTGACTCTATATTAATCTGATAACAGACAGTGTCAGAAATATAAGTTAACACTGATAGAAATTAGGTAAATTATATCTAAAAGAAGTAGCAACAGTGTTATCCTAAGTAACTGCTCCAGTCTGTCATTGTTGTAAGATTAAGGAACAGTGGAAAATGTGGGATGTCGGAGCTGAGGGCCATCTCTGAATGGGAGCATAGGAAAGTCTGCTTCAGGCCCTGCCACGTCAGCTCTTCCCCTCTGAGGACCTACCGACTTCGTGCCGCTATGTCTGCACTCTGCTTTCATGTCGAGGAAGAGCAGTGAGCAGGATTTAATGCCTTTGCCAAGAGCGAAGTGTGACGTCCCCACACAGGGCTCACACCCCTAAGTATTTGGAGTGAGTGCTTTAAAGTTCTATCAAATCCTGATGAAAGTGGGCGTCATGCCATTCCCACTTTGTGTGTGTTTCTGAGAATTGGCTCTGCCCCCTGGAACGTTGTGCCGCTTCCTCCATACCTGTCAACTTATGTTTCTTTTGTGTTTTCTCTTAGTGGAGAAAGAGGATCTGGGAAGTCCGAAGCCAGCAAACAGATCGTGAGACACCTGACCTGTCGGTCCAGCTCCAGCCGGGCTCTGTTTGATTCCAGGTTTAAGCACGTAAGTTTCTTGTCTGGGCCAGAGTATGACATCAAGCAAAGGGAAGGCATTTACAAGCAGGCAGGGTGAGGGGAGGACATACAGTAACTTCCAAGCGGTCCAACCTGAAGGAGGTCCACTCTGCACTGTGGGTGAAGAGTGCTCAAGTGCTCGTTTCGTTCATGTATTGACATGCATCTTGAGCGTGCCCTCTTCTCACCTGTGCTCTGGGCGGCTGCCTCTGGTGCACCTAGTGCTGTGAGATATTGTTCTTTTACAAGGTACTTTTCTGAATGTTGGTACACTTGGTTGTGCTGTCCTGAAAAGCAACTGTTGCATGAATAGCAGTAATAAAAGTCACTGTGTCTAAAAGAAGTGACAATAGTAATCCTAAATGTTGTTGCTAGGTAATCAACCTTCGTTCCTCCCAAAGCAATTCTAAACTATATTCAAAAACACAGGTGCATTGTATTCCGTGTCATGTAGAGGCTCCATATCCTCTGCCTCTGCTGTTGAAAACACACCCAGGACTCAGGAGCACACAAGAGTCAGTCAGCAGCAGTGAAACAGCCATGCCCGAGATGGCTGCTGCAGGTGTCTGCAGGACCCGGGTCCCCCTGCCTTTGCACACCTCTGGCAGGTGGTGCTATTAGTGCTTTTTATAGACCTCGGTCTGAAGAAGACATTCAAGGAAAGCTCACAAGGCCCCGATGTGTGTCTGGGTGACAAGTACAGGAGAACAGTAGGAAGCAGGCAGCAACTGAAACAGGACTGGACGGTCTGGAGGGGTCTTCTCTGGTAGATCAGATGTCCCACATTTTGTTACTCCCTCTGGCAGTCATTGCAGGGGGTGGAAGCCCATCATGTTTGAGTCTCCTGTGCATGTCCACATGGCGGCCTGGTTCACAGAGCAGCCCTGCTTGCCAGGGCCAGCCAGAACCCAGGCACTTTCTCATCAACCCATAGACGGAGAAAATAGAGCCTGAGACAGGTAGAGGGCTTGTCCTGTAAGAAAGAAAGCCCTCACTGCGTTCATAGTTAATGGCTTGGCTCAGTACACCATGTTTCCAAGCAGGCAGCACATTCAGCTCCCACTATCACCAGCAGGAGGAGAAGTCTGCCTGTCTCACCATCACTCCCTTGTTCAAACCCTAGATGATGCTCTCACCCAGTGGATCAGCATTACCCTCCTGCCTCCATGCCTCTGACGCTGCTGCAGCTGCCTGTAGCCGTGCCTCCCTCCCAGATGAGGCCGTTCTTTCTCATTCATTTGCTTGCTTTTATCTGTGAGGTGTTCCCCAGTGCATGTCCCCAGAAGGTGCTGTCTTTGCCTGGTAATCCCAGTCTCATAAGTGCTGAATAAATCAATGGAAGCAAAAAATAATCGTTAAAGGCTTCAGCAAGCTTAGGAAGGATGGAGACTTCCTCAATTAGGTAACTCTAATGTTAGCAAATAAATGTAATACAGGCAACTTGTGGTGTGCGGTCAGGGCTGTGCATTCCAGCGTGTGTGTGTGTGTGCCTCTGTGTGCTTCTGCCTGTGTGTGTGGATGTGTGTGTTTGTTTCCATGTGTATAAGCGTTTGTATGAGTGTATGTCCATTGCATATCGGTGTGTTCGTGTTTGCACACATGTGGACGTGTGTGTGTTTGCCTGTATGTGTGTCTGTGACTTACAGAACCAGCATTGATGCTTTCTCATGTCGATCCCTTCCCTGTCTTCATGAAATAATTGCCCTCTTCCTGCTTTTACTTACTGTCCTTTTATCTAAGACACATTTATTCAAAAAAATTAACTTCTCACCTCAAGAGGTCATTAAATGCATGCATGTATATATGCTATCAAAAATCAGGTTCATTTCTTCACATACAATAAATAAATACAGATCTTGCTGAAAATGCATCAGCCTACTCCACATAGCATTTAGGGACAAGAGGTACGTTTGTGCTCCATCACCAGGCTGGGCTCAGGCCAGGCTGCCTCGCCGTGTGCCGCTGTCTGTCAGCCCTCGGGGGGGCCTGCAGCTCTGAGATCTCAGAGGCCGGGGTGCAGCCTCAAGAGGCACATGTGTTCCCCCCATTTCACTGCACCACATTTCTGTCTCCAGACGTCCGATGGCGCCAGAACAAGGCGGCTGCTCTTCTCCCGGTACATGCCCAGCACCAATGTCAGTGGATAACTCCAAATCGGAAGATCTGGAGATGTATCAAGTGCCGTGCTGTGTGTTTCTGGTTCACCTGGCCCAGCCCAGCAGGACAGAGCGCTCTACCAATTATGGCGGTGTTTCCTCGGGAGAGTACTGGGGATTGGCAGCGTCTGAGTCCTCAGGTTGATGAGAGGAACTCACTAGACTCTGGTTAACCTATAGAAATGCTACAGCCTGTTGACTAAACTGCAGTGACAAGGAATGCTAGTTCTCACTCTAAAATACAAACTAAAATGATCATTCATTAAAATGATTGAGCGAGAACAAGCTACATAATCTATAATATGCATCTCTGATTATGTAAATTGGGTTTGCCTTTTAGTTAAGGTGAATGAGTTCTAATTTGCATTCCTTTGAATAAAATGGATATAAATTTTCCAAATCAATTAGTGTCTAGGAGCCAAAACTATAATATCAGTGCAAACTTCTATTAGAAGTACTTGTAATCCATTTGTCTCATTCTTCCTATGACAAGTGAGAGATGATGTAATCAGGGTTTCCAACCTCATAGGAAACATTGCCCATATTTGTATCTTAAACCCCGTGTCAATTATGGTTTGTTTATTTCTCTTTAAATGATCGTCTAGATGACTGTAATTCAGTTTCCAAGGTGTTCATGAAAATTACTCAGCTGCAGTTTTACAGATCATCCAAGCACATGTACCAGAATTAGCTGCAACAGTGGAGAGGCCTGTGGGTCCTGAACGTTCTTGTAGCATTGCAGAGGACAAAGGTCACTGGAGAGAAAGGTCAGGTTTTTCTGCCTGAAAAAGAAATGAGGAAGGAGCATGGTTGATGTGGGTGAAGTTCAGTGCAAGAGAAGGAAAAGGGGTGCTCGCTGGGTGGCACAGTGAGGGGGCAGGGTGAGCTGGGCTGGGAGGGCAGGCAGCCCTGCTCCCTGCACGGCATCTTCACCAGGCAGACTGCAAAGCGCTGGTCTTCCAAAGGGAAAGCAGGCCACTCTGTCTAAAACCTGGCACCGAGTGAGAGGATGAGTCATTGGAGTTGTAGGACTGGTCTCGGGGATTGGGCGTTACAGAAACCTGCCCTGTCGGGCTGAAGGCTGCAGGCCCAGTGACACGCAGGAGCTGTGGGGTTGGGGAGGATGACGGCTGACCGGTCAGGGAGTCCATGCCACCACAGCACACGGCACTGTCCACGAGGGAGGAGGCAGGAAGGAGCAAAGGCAGGCGAAAGAGAAGTGATTGTTGGTAGTGTTAAGCAGACAAAGTGCTTACTTGGCCAAGGAATCTGTAGCTGCAACACTTGCAGGAATCAGTCTTCCACTTCAGTTGTCCCATCTGGAATGTTCGCATGGGTTGACAGTATGGCTCTGCCGTGTGCTCCAGTGTGCTTGGTCCTGGGAGGGAGGGAGGGACGGACAGGATCCTGGCTCCCAACACAGTGCTGCTGTGGCTGCTGCTCAGAGCAGCCAGCATCAGGCCGGCAAGTGTTTGGATCCTGGTCCCTGGATTTGTGTTTCAGATGTTGGAAGCAGGGGTTTTCCATGGCAATGGGCTTATTGGAACAGTAAAATCATACTCTGGAAAGCTGCCTGGGATTTCTCGCCAATTCTCGACCAAATTTCAAATACATTTCAGTGTTACAAACATTGAGTTCCATGCACAGCACTCAAACCAGCAGTTGTTGAGTAAGAGACTTCAAGAATAGCCCGACAGGCTCCATGTGAGGAGGAGGTGGTTTGTTACTGAGAGGGCCAGCCACGTTGACTTTAGAAAGCACGATAGGGGCCTGCATTGTGGCAAGGCAGGTGGAGTTGTCACCTGCAGTGCTGGTATCCCATGGGGGGCAGGTTTGTGTCCTGCTGTTCTACGTCTGATCCAGCCCCAGTAGCAGGTGGCCCAAGGGTCTGGACTTCAGTCACTCACGTAGTTGTGGGCCACCCTGGGCGGTTAACCAGCAGATGGAGGGTCAATAGCTTTCTTTCTTTCTCCATCTCCCTTTCTCCAACTCCAACTTTCACAATAAATACTTTTTTTAAAAAAAGAAAGTGTAATAGATTGGGTATTCCTGTTAAGAGTGTAGGACTTTTATCCAGAAAAAGATAAAATTATACCAAAAATGTATGTTAACTAGAAAGAAAATCATACCATTAAGATTTGAATCAGGAAATATTAAGGATATACAGTTTGAAATACTTTCACCTATATCCCAGTGTAAACTGTAATACTATGCAACATTCTCACTATTTTGTTGCGAAATCAGCATAAGCACTGGAGTAGCATTTGTTGACATACCTATAATGTATTTATTCAGTGCCACCTGTTGGTCAAGTGGTAAATTCAAGATGAAAACCACTGGCTTGTTCAGAGTTGACCTGACATTTCAATCTTGCATTGTGAAACCATGATCAATAGAGAATGCCGAATGCTTACGTTGTGTTAAGTGGTTTTAGCTGTATGTTAGCTTATGTGTTTTCCACCTGGGCTGTTCAAGCAGCAAGAGCTGTGTGGTGTGGTTCTGCAGCCTGACTGCCTGGGGCCAAATCCAAGATCCATCATTTACAAGCTGAGCTGAACCCTATGAGTTATTTAATCTGTGTATGGATTTTTCCTAAAAAGCAACCCCCTCCAAAAAAAAGAGACATTAGATTAGAAGATTAGATTAGATTAGAAGACAGACACCTGAACGTGCTTTATTAGCCCTAGGATCTTGTCTCACATGTGGGAAACATAATATACTCCTTGCCTGTTCCTCTCACTTCCCTTGGGATTCTGTCATGTTGGGTTCTGAGAGTTCCCTGGCTGCAGACATGCGTGCCATGCACAGACACTGCAGGACTAACTTCCTGTGCTGGGATCCAGGAAAGTGTGCTGGGAGAAGGTTCTAGGGTGTGCTGCCTGGCCTGGGCTGTGTCACTCACTGAGCAGGGACCTGATTCTGTCTGCAAGGACGTGCATACAGCCATCAGCGTATGCTTCCTGTTGACGGGTGCTGATGGAACTGTGATGTTTTGCCTAGAAAAACAAAAATGGCACTCCACTGTCAGAAACCACACCTAGGAGCTGGAGCAAGCTCTAAAATAAATGCACCCTAAGCATTGTGGGGACTTCTCAAACCATCGTGTAATGAGATGTGCTTGAAATAGGTTCAAGTCCACTATTAATTCAGATCCGTGTTTAGCATTTTATCATTAAAAATGAACAAAACGAGTTTAATAGAAGCTAGTTTCGATTATTCTTCAGAGAATATTCTGTTGTCACTGCTGACTTTCTAGGATTTTGAGGCTATTGGGAGCAGGCATTGCACCTTGCTATTTAGGTACCAGTGTGGACACATGCCTTCCTCTCCAAGGGCTCGAGTCCAAGCTCTGGTTCTGCTCCAGCAAGTGACAGCTCAAGAACGTGGGCCCCTGACACGCCCGTGGAGACCTGACTACAGCCTGCTCCAGATCTGGCTGTCGTGGGCATTTGGGTCAAGAACCAGTAGATGGGACACCTTTCATCTTTATATCCGTCTGTTTCTGACTCAAGTAAAAGGTCACAATGTTTTATCTAAGGCTATTGTATAAGGCCTAACTCATAAAGTTATTGATTTATCTCCAAAACTTCAGACTTCCTACTTCACTACTCCCAGTTCCCAAGGCTTCTTATTCTTGGTTATCACCCAAGTGTTATTTCACAGTCTCCCTCAGTGTAGGCTGGTTATGGAAGATGTACTTAGTGTAGCAGATGTCAGGAAATTAAAACAGTAACATCAAAACGTCTTTTAAAAAGTGAGAACGAAGTTTTCCAAGTTCTGTCACCAGAAACCACCTGGTGTTATCAATAAGGCATCGTTGTGCTCCCTCTTGTGGCTGCTCCCAGAAACTGTACCCTCACATTAGATCCTTCCACACTGTGGCAGGTCTTGGTCATATCACCGTCACAGGCACTCATTGGGCAGAGCTGGAAGGAATTCCAGACCCAAAGGGCGACGTGAGGGGCTTTATGGCGATTTGCTCTGCTCGGTACTTACAGCTGTGAAACCATGGGATGGCAGAGAAGTCCAGAGCTGAAAGGTGGGGAGAGAGGCCCATGGAATCCCAGGGTGCAGCGGAAGGAGACAGAGCAAGGGCTCTGCCCATTAGAATGGATGAGAATGAAGTGGGATTCAGAAAGACCTGGCGTGCTGTCTTTGAGCAGATTTCCTGTTCTGAGAGGAGCTGTGGCTATTGCTTCTTTTGATTCTTCCAAACCAACAAAAACTCTTCTTGGTCTTTTCAAGTTAAAAATCTCAAACAGTTTTGGTTGTGTCCATGTGTGCGCACTGTGTGTGTTCATCCTTGCCTGTATGTGCACTGTGTGTGTTCAGCTTGCCTGTGTGTGCACTGTGTGTGTTCATGCTTGCCTGTGTGTGCACTGTGCATGTTTCAGCTTGCCTGTGTGTGCACTGTGTGTTCATGCTTTGCCTGTGTGTGTGCTGTGTGTTCAGCTTGCCTGTGTGTGCACTGTGTGTGTTTCATGCTTGCCTGTGTGTGCACTGTGTGTGTTTCAGCTTGCCTGTGTGTGCACTGTGTGTGTTTCAGCTTGCCTGTGTGCGCACTGTGTGTGTTCAGCTTGCCTGTGTGTGTGCTGTGTGTTCAGCTTGCCTGTGTGTGCACTGTGTGTGTTTCATGGTTGCCTGTGTGTGCACTGTGCGTGTTCAGCTTGCCTGTGTGTGCACTGTGCGTGTTCAGCTTGCCTGTGTGTGCACTGTGTGTGTTCATCTTGCCTGTGCATGCACTGTGTGTGTTCATCTTGCCTGTGTGTGCACTGTGTGTGTTCATCTTGCCTGTGCATGCACTGTGTGTGTTCATGCTTGCCTGTGTGTGCACTGTGTGTTCATGCTTGCCTGTGTGTGCACTGTGCATGTCAGCTTGCCTGTGTGTGCACTGTGTGTGTTCAGCTTGCCTGTGTGTGAACTGTGTGCATTCATCCTTGCCTGTGTGTGAGTACATATGTGAGTGGTTTGTTCCACCTACAAGCATTGAGACAGCCATGTCATGAAGCTGGTGTAGACGGAAAAAGCCATGTCGACAGAAATGGGGTGCTACAAGCTTGCGTTTCAGTAAAGAACAACCTTGCAATTGAATCGGAAACCTTTCTGATAGCAGGATATTCCTGGCAGTGGCATCTCCACTGACTACTCCTTCCCACTTTGTTTCAAGAACAGGTAGATCGGTGACTCTGTTCCTTTGCAGGTCATGTGCATCTTGGAAGCCTTCGGGCATGCCAAGACGACGCTGAATGACTCATCCAGTTGCTTCATCAAGTACCTGGAGCTGCAGTTCTGTGAGACGAGGAAACATGTCACGGGAGGTAAGTGTCCCGTTGGCATGTGGAGCCTCTGCATGCTGCGGAGGGAGGCAGGGGCTGCTGGGATGACAGCAGACGGAGCCTTGCTTCCACACAGGCAAGGGCAGAGGCAAAACTCCGTTAAGCCAGGCAGCAAAAAGCCCTTCCTCCCTGAGCTGCGTTTATAGACCCAAACCATTGGATCAGCAGTGTAATGTGAAGCCACATGCAGACTGGACAGGCTGGGTAGAACACAGAAACAATCTCAAGGACGCAAATGAGCCCTGCGCCCAGTGGGCAGGTTCTTCACGGGACACACACTGGGATCTTTCTAAACAAAACCGAATGTGTATTCTGAATGACACAACTGAAATGAACTCAGACTTCCTGAGGAGACCCTAGTGAACCCTCTGGGAATCTGTGTCCCACTTAACTTAGATACTTACTGTGTATTTTATGAACCAGCCTTATTTAAACTTCCACTAACAGAGAATCCCCCTGGATGTCACGTCTTTCTAACTAGAGCAGATTGTCCTGGAATATTAATAACATGAGCACAATTGTAGGTGGACTGTCTGCCTACTTGGGGAATCAGTTGTTTCAAAGACTATCACCCTACCTGCCAGTGCACAGGCGTTTATTGGCTCATTATAAATGATTTTCTCAAGGTCTCCATTTTGTCTGGCTTTTTCAAGCCACCCCAGCTTTCCTTGAGGAAATGAGTGTTAGGATAGGTGACAATCTAGGAGCGAGCTGTGCTTTGCAATGTGTCAACAAAACTCAGCAGTGTGTCTTAAGAGAGAAGAGAAAGTTCGTTTCAGAGGACGAAGCTAGAAGTTGAGTTCTCTGGGTTTGTTTTTATGATTATTTTCTTTAATTTAAAAAATGTGGTTAAACATTCTGAAGCTCCGCTCTTCAGAGAAACATCGCAAGCCTCAGTCTGGTGTTCCTGTGTGGATCTCTGCCATATGAGATGGAGACTAACATATGTAGATGTGAGGATACAATGCCGTGTGCATCTCCACTTCCAGACAAAGATGGACGCCCATTGAAACTGTCTACTGTATCTTGACAATAGGATGCTGGACTCTCTGCCGTTGTCCATGCCCGCAATGATGGACATGTGACTGTGTATGAAGAACTGTACACTTCAGTGATGATATAGAGGAACTAGGTGGGGAGGGGGGACTGGGGGGATTTAAGGGAAATTCCAGGAGCATTTGGAACTATATCATAAAATGGTAAATAACAATAATCTCAAAAGAAAGTATGTTTAATAAATAGATAGATAGATGGACAGAAAAAGAAAGGAAACAGTCGTCTGAACAGCACCAGAGAGAGAACTTGCTTTCTCAGCCAGCACCCCATGCACTGCAGGGAGACGCGTGCTGGCTGCTGAAGGTGTGGGCCGTTGTTTGTTTCTTCCCCTTGGTCCTTGGTGGAGACTGATGTATCCTCAGGAATGCTGACTCAGGAAGTGATCAGAGCTGGAGGGTCTGCCATGCACTCCCACCTCGCTGTGTGTTAACACGCAGCCCTGCTCACGTGCAGTGCAGTCACATCCACAGGTGCCCACAGCGTGCACACGGGGCAGGAGCCTGAAGCAGTTTGCAGTCCTAAAGTGACCCATGCCAGTCCATGCCATCTCCACGTTGTGTGTGATTTGATGTGGCCACCTCCACATTCCCTCACTCTCCATTCTGCCTTTCTCGGATTCCTCTGTCCTAATTAACATCCTAATTCAGTCTCCGTTGCCTAGTTTTTAATCTTTGATATCTTCCTACTGTGTTCCCTTAAAAATTTGACCAAATGCTTTGGTTATTGCTTTTATACTTAAAAATCATGAGACAGAAAACTGGCAGTGCTACGTAGACTGCACTGATGGGAGAACACTTGGGTAAGAGTTGGCCCAGAAGCAGGAGGACCATGCCATCCTGCTGCCATCCTGCTGTGGGGCTCAGGCCTTTGTGTCCAAGGAGTGGGTTTGCAAGAGAAGCCTCACCGGGAGAGTTAAAGTTCGAAGATACATTTCCCCATGAATACTGACAGAACAGAAGCTGCTGGCAACGAAGAGGAAGGTTCAGGGGAAACAGAACAAAGTTCCGCAGTGTGCAGGATGAGTCTGCAGTGCAGAGATGTCACATGCTCACCACCAAGACCCGGTGGGGGCTTTAAGCACAGCTGTGCTGCAGCGAGAGGTTGGCTTCAGGCAGCCTCCCTCTTGAGGCGTCTGCCAGCAGATGGGAGGAGGAAACCTAGGCTGGCTGGGCAGAGTCCCACCCCATGCAGAGCAGCTGTACTTGCTGTTCACCAAGGGCACGCGGGACATGCTCTGTTCCCTGCAGCGGTGCCACCTTGAGGCTAGAACAGTGAATCTGGACAGCTGCCTATCCCCTGCAGCAGTACAACCTGGTGGCTAGTCCAGTGACTGTCCCTTGCTGCCTGCTGGCACAGGATCAGTGGTCCCTGGGCAGTTGTGTCACTGCCCAGGGTCTGCTCGAACAGATTGGCATGACCTCAGTAGCATAAAGTGCCAGAGTAAGTGTCCAGTGTCAGAGCTGAGATGTCTGCCCAGCCATGTGTCCCAGCTCCCCTGACTTCTGCCATGGAGGATCTGCCACTAGGACAGCTGCCAATGCTTTACATTTCTTGACTTGGGGTTGCCTCACCTGTTTCTGCTTCAGTTGATCCCACCCTTCCCTCAGCACCTCTCTTCTTCTTAAAGACACCAGGCATACTGGGGGTGCAGACTTCATACCCACCCTTCTCCATAATGACCTCATTTAAACCAGCTGAGTGGTTCACCTCAGTCTACCTGCACAAAATTCTCAACTGTGAATGTTAATTAAAATAAGCAATCACAGTTTAGCTCTCCCCTAAATTTGGAATTCAACAAGCACTAGGCAGGAAGTCGCCCTTCCTCAGGAGTACCGACAGGGCAGGAAGTAGCACTCACTGTGTGTTGCACTCAGGTTAGTTACACTCCGTGTTAGTTACTGCAAATCAAGGAACACATACTGTATTTCACTAATCACATGGTTTCCAGTTGTATGCATTTTGCTGCAAAAGACAATATTTCATTCTTTTTTTATAGCTGAGTAGTATTCTATTGTGTAAATAGAAAGCATATAATTGTAAATTAAAAGGCATAGAGAAGAAAGATAAGCACGTGAGGACATCTTGTTGATATGGTGTAGCCTTGAGACTATAATCAGTGGAACAAAGACAAGCTCACACTTGCTAGAAAGATGGGCATGCCAAGGCCTGGCAGCCCCCAGTGCCAGCAAGAACGTGGAGCCACCAATTCATAGCTGTCTCTCCTGGGATGCCAAGACAATTGGGCAGCTTCTCACCAGCATCTTCCCACACTATCCACAAGTCATTCTTGGCATTTACTTCAGTGAGCCCACAGAAGCTGGGTGTGGGTGTTAATAGCAGCTTTATTCCCTGGAAACAACAAGGATGTGCCTTCTTAGAGTAATGAATAAACCATGCTGCATTCATGCAATGAGATTTTATTCACCGACTGACATGCGTGCTAACAACTCATGAGAAAACATAAGTGACTTTTGAGTGTGTATTGTGGGGTGAAAGAAACCATATAAAAGGTTACATGTGCAGCCAACTACATGACATTCTGGCCAAATGGGAAATATGGAGATCATGAGGAAATGTGGTTGTTGGGTGATGGAAGGGAGACTGGGCAGGTGAGGCACAGGGAAGGTGTGTGGGGCAAGCAAGTGTCCTGTGGATGTCCAGGAATCAAACACTGCTGTGCACCACGGACTGCTGTTAATGATGATAGGTACCAGTGTGTCACCCCATGCCAGTGTAAGATTCCACTGACAGAGGGCATAGTGAGGGGCAGGCACAGGGAGCTCTCGGAACCTCCTACTTGATGCTGCTGGAAACCCAAACTGGCTCTAGAAAATGAACCCTCGTTTTTGAATAATGAAGAAACAGATTGATCACACACGGAAAACCTAAATTATGCATTCGTTCATTTTCTTTCCTTCAGTAGAAGAAATAATAGCTCAGTGATCTCTGAGAAAGATATTTACTCATTACTTCAGCATGTGTTTATTGAGAGTCATCTATTTGCTTAGACCAGTGAGGTTCAATAGAAATGTGATGCTCAAACAGAAATGGGAAAGACAACTGCAACTTAACATGTCTCATTGCCGTATTCAACAAACAAGACAGTGGCTGAACTTGCTTGTAATAGCATATTCTGTCTAGTCATATATGTCCAAAAGATTGTCAATGCAAATGGTGACAGTTACGAATGAGAGAAAAGTTTTGTGTTGACAAAGAAACTGCAGTCTTATCTCCTCGTGATTCATCTGTGTACAACTATGGAAATGAGGTCATTGATGGGTCTAACAGATAACTTTCCTTTTCGCAACCAGCCAGAATGTATACGTATATGCTCGAGAAGTCCAGACTCATCTCACAGCCCCTCGGCCACAGCAGCTTCCTCATCTTCCACCTCCTGATGGATGGACTGTCTGCTGAAGAGAAGTACGGACTGCACCTGCACCGTGTGCGCCGGTGAGTGACACGGTGCTGTGTGTGTCAGGGCTCTGTCTTCAAGCTGTGATTGCAGGTTAGCAGTCTTAAATGGCCTCCTTGTTTTTCAAAGAAGACACGAGCCTTTAAACAACTGTTGGATATGGTTAGGATCAAACCATCCCCATGACAGGGTTCTACCTGTTGAATCTCTTGATGAGATGTGCTGTGTGTGTAGGAATGAAACTTCGTATTTTACTAGATTTCAGATCACACTAGAAATCAGCACGTATAAGCACATATATGAATTTTTCTTTGGGGCATTTTGGTGATAACAGTGGTACATTCCTGGTGTTTTTTTCTCATGTTGTGCTGCACTGGTAGATGTTCTTGGAGAAATGACTCGTGGGTAACAGAAGAGGCTGAATATTGGGTTAGGACACACAAAGCTTGGAAACTGGAGACAAAAGAGTGTTTGTGTGTTCCACAGAGAAAGCCGAGGGCATGGGGTGCCAATGGAAGTGGGCGGGCCTCCAGAGGGAGCTGAATTCCTGCCAGCTGGCCCTGTGTTCTCACAGGGACAGGTCCAATTTACTGAGAAGGAAGACCATGAACAGGAAAGGGCGGCAAACCTCACTTAGAAGCAAAGTCAGAGGGCAGGAAATGGGGACACAGCAGAGGCCTGGCCAGTGCCCCACTCTCACAAGTGAATTCCCCAGCCCGGGTGCAGAAGGGGGGAGGTGCTTCAGGTTGATGTTAACCCCTGTTGGTAGCTGGATCTTGAAGGAAGATAAGGGTTTGCAGAATGCTGAGAAAACGTTTGTGAGAAAAAAGAAGTCATGGATGTGATATGACAACCGACACACGGACACTGGTCAGTGGCTCTGCCCTCCTGGCTTGCTTGTAGTCGAGGCAGTGGGTGTGCTAAGTCAGTGTAGAGGAAGCAGGTGGCAGCCAGCCCTCGGTGTGTGTATGTGTACACACACAGAGTCTTGTTTCAAGTGTGCAGAAAATTATGGCCAGTCACTCCAACCTTATTTGTTGGTTTGTTCATCTGTCCCAGTAGGGGTCGATCACAGTCCAGGTGACATGGTGAACATCAGGTTGGAGCTGGGGATCAGGCAACACTTCGGATCCTGGTGTGACTGGGCTACTTGGAGACAGCTCGTTTGCCAGGGGAGCTAGTGTGCACACCCTCCTGGGCCATGGAGGACTCTGGGGAGCATCGGAGGAGATGGGCGGCTATGCAGACTCTGCAGGAAGGCTCTGGATGGGTGAGAGCTGCAGGCAGGTGGGGGTGTGTGGCCAGAGACTTGGAATCTGTGGAGTGACTATAGGCTACTTGGACTCTGAGTGCAGAAGGAGTTGGTGTTCACATTGAAGGAGACTCCAGATCTGTGAAGCTGTCCCTGTGGTTATCACAGCTGGGAGCAGAGGGTGAGACTCCTAAGGAGCACCTGCAGTTGGGGTGCTGCTGAGAAGGTGGAAGTGATACGTGGGGACGGCCAGGAGGCGTTCTGAGGCTGTGGAGCTGGGACTTAAAGGAGTGAGATGTGAGGCGTTCTGAGGACACAGGGCTGCGACTTGAGTGTGAACCAGATGCAGTTGTGAGGGGAAGAAACCAAAGCAAATTATTCCTGTTGATACTGCCGAGCACCGTCAGGTGTCACATCCAGAGAGGACAAGGCTGGTGGGAATGCTGGGTCTGTGTCTGGGGCAGGTGAAGGTGGAGATGTGGCAGGGCAATGCATCCATCGTGGCTGTGAGGTGTGGAAAAAGGCAAGGTGGAGTTAGGAAAAAGAGACTGATTTCCACTGTCTCATTTGTCCTTATCACTCTGCTCCAGTGAAAGCGCCACAGCTAGGGTAGATGTTGTTTGTTACATTAAATAGGGAAAAAACCCACAAAGAAAAAGGCTGTTGTAGGAGGTCACAGACTCCCAGACACCACAGATATTTAAGAGACTGTGGTCAACATGTGGCAGCTTGTCGGAAATGCCTACCTTCTACAGCATCAGACATGCGTCTCATCAGAGTCTCTCATGTTGTGTCAGAGAAAATCCAAGCCAGGGCCATGCAGAAGTTGGATGTGCGTTACCCCTGTGATTATAGTGTATGCGAATTCTGTTTATTTTTACAAGAACATAAAGAGAAAAGCACAAAAGGAGGGATTGACGGAGGGACGGAGGGAGGGAAATATGTTTCTCATCCTAGAAGTTCATCTGTGAAATACGTACAATCAGTTCTTTTTATAGTAATAAAACATTTTTTTTTTCATTTTATTACATAGTTTCATAGGATCTGGGGTTCCCCTCAAACCCTCCCCTGATATTGAATTCCTCCATATTGTTGCAGTAGTACAGATCATAACCAGTCATGATTCCTTCATTGTGGGCATGGACCATGCGGGGAGTCCAGCATCTTATTTTCCAGACAAATTCAACAGTTTCATTGGGAGATCATTCTTGGTCTGAAAGTAGAGCTGGCAGGATATCATTCCCTCCGATGAGATACCACTACATAACTTCAACAGGAAGAAACATGGAAATTAACAACATCGTGAAGTTAACTAACATGGTATTTAGTGACCAATATGTTAGAAAATGCAAGTTTTTAACCACATCCTGTAACTACTTCCTTGACATCTCAATTTTAGTATATACACAACCGGCTGCTATAAACCTAGAAATGGTTATAGGGTGCTATTCAGCTGTCTCATGTCTATTTTCATTTTTATATTTAGCAGCTTATAGAATTCAAGGGTGATTTTTACTGTACTTCACAAATTTTAGGATGGTCCAAACAGGCTTATAACTCTAACAGGCCATTTTTTAACTGATTGATGAGCAGAACAATTTTTAGGAGGGCTGTGCAGAGAAATCTTCAATACCCTAGTGAGGAATAACTGATCTTTGTGTCCTACCTAGTAAAGTATATGGTAGTCCAAGCTGACTTTCTTCTGTCTGTTCTAAGCTTTCCTTATTCCTCTCTATCTGATCTAATTTGGGGGCTCCAGAGTGACCCTGATGGTCATTGCAAGAGAGGGTGGAGAGCCAAAGTTGGAAGTAAGTAAGGACCAGAGAGAGCTCCTCTCCTGAGTCCTGAAGGAAATTTACTCTTCTGTTTTTGAAGACTGTTCAGGGCTTCTGGCTGTTGTTCTGATGACATTAGGTCCTGTGAGGAAGGATCTGGGCTTCTTCCATCCTGTGTTGGAGATCCTATAGGGAATGGTTGACTTCAGAGTTCTTGGCCTACAAGGGCATTCCAATGCCCTGTGATCTTTGTTAACCAGTTGTCCCAACAGCATTTATTGAAGAGACCTCCCCATTTGCATGGATTATCATCTCTCTCTCTCTTTTTTTTTGGTCAAAGATTATTTGCTGTATCTGTGTGGGTTCCCTTCTGCTGCTTCTATTCTATTGCACTGATCCTCCTCTCTGTCTTTGTGCCAGTACCAGGCTGTTTTAATAACCACTGCCCTAAAGTATGTCCAAAGCTCTGGAATTGTGATCCCCTGTGTTAAATTTCTATTGTTGGGGATGGTTCTAGCTATTTGCGGTTTTTTGTGCTTCCAGACGAAACTTTGTATCATTTTTTCCAGTTCTATTAAAAATGTTTTGTGTACTTTGATTGGGATTGTGTTGAATGTGTATATTGCTTTTCTCCATCTTTTGAAGTCTTCCTCAATTTCTTTTTTAAGCTTATTGTAGTTTTCTTCAAAGAGGTCTCCTACGTTTTTGGTTAGGTTTATTCCTAGATACTTCCTATCTTTCTTTGTTGCTTTGAATGGTAACTTGCTGGTTACATCTTCTTCCATCTTGGGGCTGTTTGCGTACACTGTGGCTGTTGATTTTTGTTCATTAATTTTGTACCCTGCCACTCTACCAAACTCTCGTATAAGTTCTAGCAGTCTCTGTATTGAGTCTCTTGGTTCTTCCATGTAAAGGATCATGTCATCTGCAAATAGTGAAAGCTTGACTTCTTCATTTCCCATTTGGATTCCTTTGATTTCTTTTTCTTGTCTTATGGCCTCTGTGAGTACCTCTAGAACTATGTTGAATAGCAGTGGTGATAGCAGATATCCTTGTCTTGTTCCAGATCTCAGTGGGAAGGGTTCCAATTTTTCTCCATTAAGTATGATGCTGGCATTCATATATTGCTATGATTATGTTGTGGATTGTTCCTTCTGTGCATTCCTTGTTTAGAGTTTTTAGCATGAAGTAAGTGATGTTGGATTTTGTCAAAAGCTTTTTCTGTGACTATTGATACTGTTACATGATTTTTGTTCTTCAGTTTTTGGATGTGGAGTATTACATTTATGAATGTTGAATCATCCCTGCATTCCTGGGATGAATACTACTTGATCCGGGTGAATGATCTGTCTGATTTTTTTTTTAATTCTATTGGCTAGAGTTTTGTTGAGAATCTTAGTATCAATGTTCATGAGGGAGATTGGTCTGTAGTTTTCCTTCTCTGTTAATTCTTTATCCGGTTTTGGGATTAAGCTGATGTTGGCTTTGAAGACTGAGTTTGGAAGGGTTGCTTCCTTTTCTGTTGTTTTGAAGAGTTTGTAGAGGATTGGGGTTAGCTCTGTTTGGAATGTTTTGTGGAATTCTGCAGTGAAACCATCTGGGCCTGGGCTTTACTTTGTTGGGAGATCTTTAATCACTGATTAAATCTCTGCCTCGGTCATAGGTGTATTCAGGTGTTCTGTTGCCTCTCAGCTAAATTTTGGTAGCTGGTAGGAGTCCAAGAACCTTTCCATTTGTTGGTGATCTTCTGATTTGTTGGAGTACAGTTGTTTGTAGTAATTTCTAATTATTTTCTTAATGGTTGCAGTATCTGTTGTTATATTGCCTTTTTCATCTTTGATCTGATTAATTCTTGCTTTCTCTTGTTTTTTCTTTGTTAGTCTGGCCAGTGGGGTGTTTCAAAATCCAACTTTTTGATTCATTGATCTTGTGAATTGTTTTTGGATATCTGTTTGATTTATCTCTTCCCTTATTTTGGTGATTTCTTGTTTCCTATTGCTT